GAATTAATCTTCATTTTAAATAAGACGGGGTCACGTTATTCTCCAAAGCACCAGAGGGCAGGACAAGAAACAATGGTTGAAAACTGAACAAAGAGAGAAGCAACCTAGAATTAAGGAGAAACTTCCTGACAGTGAGGACAATCAACCAGTAAAACAGCTTGCCTCCAGAAATCATGGAGAAATCATCACTGGAGATTTTAAAGAAGAGGCTAGACAGTCACTTGTCTAAAATGGTATAGGTTCTCCTGCTTAAGCGGGAGGCTGGATTAGAAGACCTCCAAGGTCCCTTCCAGCTCTATTCTATATCTATATCTGTACTATTTTTTTGTCATATGTAATCTAAAATAGATTACATGTCCATTCATTGTTTTTATTTTTAAAACTATTTAAAAGTTTTCTTATATTTTTCTTTTCATACTTTTTAACATTTTATGTAATTTTATTTTTGCATTTTTATGATTTTTTTAAAAAAATGTTTGTTCGTCTCCCTTCTTATGCTGTGCACCAATTACACCCACTCTTGTACCAGGAGGTCTGATTCCTGATCACACATGCCCTGGTCATTTCGTGGTTGGATTACTGCAACATGCTCTACAGGGGGCTGCCCTTGAAAACTATTTGGAAATTACAACTGGTCCAGAATGCAGTGGCATGGACCCTTTGGAGCATCCTACAGTTTGCCCATATTACCTCACTGCATTGGTTTCCAGTTTCTTTCCAGGTGCAATTCAAGGTGCTGGTAAAGGGATTTTACTTCTTTAAAAGCCCTAAATGGCACTGAGTTGAAACCCAAAGGTGCTCTTTCAAAAGGCAACTGGACTTTCTTTGTTTTTCCTTGAAGAAATTTCACTTCTCATCCAAGAAGCTTTTTCAAGAGAACTGAAGAAACTTCTTGGATGAGAAGCAAAACATCTTCAAGGAAAAACAAAGGAAGTGTCAACGCTGTGACAAACCAAATTGAAGCCATTTTCATTTTGTCTTCATTGCCACATATTTAGTTAGAAGAAGAACAGAGAGGGGTAGTTCTCAGTTAGCCAAAACAATTCACATGTATGGGAATCAAGGTCATTGCTGATAATATTTTGGTGGGCTGGAGCAGCTGGAAGGAGTGCCCGCGTTTTCTAAAAATTGGGGAATGTGATTTATGACAGCAATTTGTGGTGCGGAATGTAACTTGCAACTTTGTAACCTAGGGGAGGAGAACTTAGTCTTGGGTTCACCTTTGTATGTGCCATTATGTTGTAGCCAAATAAAAATGTTCTTTAAGGAAGAAATTCTTGCCTTGAAGTTCTTTTATACGGTCTCATCTATCAGAACTATGACAAGGAAGTCCAGTTGTCTTTTGAAAAGCACCTTTGGGACAACCATGACCTGGATGATTGAGAATCTCCAAAGACACTTTGAGAATTTGCAGGATTACCTATCCATTGGGGAATCTACCTGCTTCCCTAGGTGTCACAGAATGGACAAGTTGTAAGTCCTTTCTTTAAAAATTATCATCTATCAGAACCTAGATAGGTTCTGTGCCTTTTCCATAGCTTCCCTACCTACTCTCTGAGATCCAGTAAGCCTCTACATTCTGAGCCTTCCCCAAAACTTTAAAGATCTGATTTTTCCCACAAGAGATGGATAGTGAGAGGGTGGAGCCCAGCAAAGCTCTACAGTTTGTTTAGATATATGGGGATATGCTTTATTTGGGGCACTGGGAAGTTGCATGCTGCTCTCTCTCTCTCTCTCTCTCTCTCTCTCTCTCTCTCTCTCTCTCTCTCTCTCTCT